AGATTTTTAATAAAGTTTATTTTAACAAATTCAAATATCATAATATATAATAATCAATTTGAATTATAATCAAATTGATTGGCTCACATTGCTATTCTTACATGACCCTTCATCTATATGTTTAACCCCATTATATATTTCAAAAGGAGTAAAAAAAATGCCTTACAGAATAAGGTGTTGTAGCACGCCAAAACGTGTCATAACACGTTACAATGGAAGTCAAACGCTAGAGTGGAGTCGTAGGAGTTAGCGTAACGGCGAAGTCAAGTCTTGGCACCATAACATGTCATGACGAGAAATTTAAACCCCCCCCCCCACACACATAACACACCATATATATATATATATATACATACACACACACAACTAGAGAGACAGGGGTTTAGGAAAAAACCCTAAAAAAATGAAAAACTGAAGAACAACCTAAGCGTTCATCTAGACCGTATGCATATTTGTATATAAGTAAATGAAACTCATTTTTTTTCACGTGTACATGTTATGCATTTGTGCATATCGGACAAGTTGCTTACAAATTATATATATACATATATATGTATGTATATATGTTACAGAAGACATGCACACAAAAAATTAGATTTTTTTGTAATGCCTCTCAAATTAACTATAGCCTTTAGTTACAAAAATGTCTTTATACAAACTAAAGAAGACAAACTTTAGAAAAGAGTTATGTTTTTGTTTTTACTTTTTTAACCAGTTCCACTCGATAATTTTAATCAGACTTTATAATAATCGTTCTGAATTGGTCATCTTTAAAAAAATAGAACTAATTGGTTTCTTGGGCTCGGACCGGATCCCGTTACAGTCCATCATGTGACGGGCCCTACCCGAATGGACAAATTCAAAAGCCACGGTTAACAACCACTCCAAGCATTGAAATTAATCCATCTATTAGTTACGAAACAATAAAAAACGTCACGATTTCTATATTCCAATCATGAATTAGTGACAAATAAATCAGATACCTATTCACAAGGTTAATTAGATTACGTAAAGAATTCATAAATCTGGAAACTATTGATTCAATCATCTAAACAACACCAACAATTCACATTAAACAACGAAATATTAATGGATCTATACACCACTAAACAATAGACATGAAATTTAGAATCTTAATTCCGTTTGTAAACAAGTTGACTCTAACATAACCATAAGACGCTGTAGATCTAATAGATTTGTTGATCGCTATATCAAAAATAGATGTCACCATCAAACGACTGACTTGAAAGTTAAAGTTCTTACTAAATTTTATCGATCAAAATTGAAAACAAACATAGAGATTTGATAAAAAAATACCTGATAAAAGTCGTAAACGAAATCTGAGAATTCAGAAAAGATTGCTTTCAATTGCAAGAGTTGGAAAAAAGGGATGGATTTATGGGAGGGTACTTGGCAATTCATTGTTGGGTTTGTAATACATAACATAATTGATTTGAAACGTAAATTAAACATTGTATATATGTTAATGAATATATATATATATATATATATATATATATATATACATATATATATAKGGGCCTAATCAAATGAGAACTAATTAGTTTGTGGTAACTGTGAGAATCAATATTAACCACAAATTAATAGATAAATTAAGAAATTTATAATTTTAGCAATTTTGAATTAAGATTTTAATGTAAGGATATTTTTGGTATTTTACAACTTTCCTCCCTCCTCTCTTCTCCCTATATATATATAGGGACCTATTCAAAGGAGAACTGAGTTGTTTGTGGTAACTGTGAGAACCAATATTAACCACAAATCAATAGATATATTAGGAAATTTATGAATTTGGTAATTTTAAATTAAAATCTTAATGTAAGGATATTTTTGGTATTTTAAAACTCTCCTCTCTTCTCTCTTCTCTCTCCGGCCACCGTTCTCCGGCCTTCGGCCACCGTCCTCCGGTGATACCACTATGATATCACTGTGATACCTAAAAATATTGACCCTGTTAAAGAAAAGATACATTGTGATACCTAATCATATATAAGATGCATAGTGATACCACTGTGTTACATCTTCGATCGACCACACAAACGACATC